TCAGCCTCCTGAATAACTGAGATTGCAGGTGACCACCAACATGCCCAGCTAATTTTTCTATTTTTAGTAGAGACAGGGTTTCACCGTGTTGGCCAGGCTGGTCTAGAACTCCTGACCTTGGGAGATCCACCTGCCTCTGCCTCCCAAAGTGCTGAGACTACAGGCGTGAGCCACCATGCCCAGCAATGTTTTTATTTTTTGTCCAGGTGAGTTCTCAGTTTGTTACCCAGATTGTCTTGAGCTTATGGGTTTAAGCAGTCCTCCCACATTGGCCCCCCAAAGTGCTGGGATTACAGGCACCCGCCACCACACGTATTTTTTTTGCCAAAACAGAAAAAAAAAATGTTTCATGTGTAAAAGAGTTTTTGTTTTTTGGTTTTTTAAAAAATCAAACTGCCATGAAACTGCTTTACCCAAAATTTTGGTCCGCAGCATTAATCAGATTACTTATCAGGGGAAATAAAACTTAGCCATGTGAACAGGTTCAGTTTTATCAGAAATATAATTTGGATCCAACTGTATTTTATAAACTGGTGAGCTTGCGGGGCACGGTTGGCTCATGTCTGTAATCTCAGCACTTTGGGAGGCCAAGGCGGGTGGATCACCTGAAGCCAGGAGTTCGAGGCCAGCCTCCCAACATGGCAAAACGCTGTCTCTACTAAAAAACACAAAAATTAGCTGGGCGTAGTGGCCCACGTCTGTAATCCCAGCTACTGGGGAGGCTGAGGCAGGAGAATAGCTTGATTTCAGGATGCAGAGGCTGTAGTGAGCTGAGATTGCACCACTGCACTCCGACCTGGGCGACAGAGCAAGACTGTCTCAAAAAAATAAAAATAGGCCGGGCACCATGGCTCACCCTGTAATCCAACACTTTGGGAGGCTGAGGCGGGAGGATCATGAGGTCAAGAGATTGAGACCATCCTGGCAACATGGTGAAACTAAAAATACAAAAATTAGTTGGGCATGGTGGCACACGCCTATAGTCCCAGCTACTCGGGAAGCTGAAGCAGGAGAATCACTTGAACACAGGAGGCAGAGGTTGCAGTGAGCTGAGATTGCACCATTGCACTCCATCCAGGGTGACAGAGTGAGACTCTGTCTTTAAAAAATAATAATAATAAATAAATAATAAATAAAATAATAATAAAATAAACTGGTGAGCTTGTGTTACTATCTCACGACTTACATTCTAAAGTGAAAGTTACAAGACCTTTATGTGTGTGTAAATGTGTTTTGTTTTGTTTTGTTTTGCCTTTTGTGTGTTTTTATTTTATTTTTATTTTTTAAGTAGAGACCAAGGTCTCACTATGTTTCGTTTTTCTGTTTTTGTTTTTGTTTTGTTTTGTTTTGTTCTGAGACAGTCTCACTCTTTCGCCCAGGCTGAAGTGTAGTGGCATAATCTTGGCTCACTGCAACCTCCGCCTCCCAGGTTCAAGGGATTCTACTGCCTCAGCGTCCTGAGTAGCTGGGATTACAGATGCCTGCCACCACGCCCGGGTAGTTTTTGTATTTTTAGTAGAGATGGGTTTCATCATGTTGGCCATGTTGGCCAGGCTGGTCTCAAACTTCAGACCTCAGGAGATCTGCCCACCTCAGCCTCCAAAGGGCTGGGATTACAGGCATGAGCTACTGCCCCAGGCCAGGGTTTCACTGTGTTTACCCAGGCTGGTCTCAAACTCCTGGGCTCAAGCAGTCCTCCCGCCTTGACCTCCCAAAGTGCTAGGATTACAGACATGAGCCACCATGCCAGGCCTGTATGTGTGTTTAAATGTGTTTATGCATCTGTACATATATTATGCAAAAAATCTGGCATAGCTGGCCAGAAATCCCTTAAGAAATTCTATTTACATATTTGAGTGCTCATATAGTTGCAAATATAGATGGGTGCAGTGGCTCACACCTATAATCCCAGAATTTTGTGAGGCCAAGTTGGGAGGATTACTAGAAACCAGGAGTTTAAGACCAGCCTGGGCAACATAGCAAGACCCCATCTCTACAGGAAATTTTAAAATTAGCTGGGCATAGTGGCCTGTGCCTGTAGTCTCAGTGACTCAAGAGGCTGAGGTGAGATGATCACTTGAGCCCAGGAGTTTGAGGGTACAGTGAGCTATGATTGTGCCACAGCACTCTAGCCTGGGTGACAGAGTAAGGTACCCTCTGTTTGTTAAAAAAGAAAAAAATATATAAATATAAATTACTCTGTGTGTGTGTGTATATAGAGAGAAAGAGAGAAAGTAATCCAAATGTCTTCTACTTCCTCTGACTTCAGTAAATCTTTAATCTTTAATAAATAAGCTGGTTTAAAAAGTATTGGTAAAATAGGCTGGGCACTGTGGCTCACACCTGTAATCCCAGCACTTTGGAAGGCTGAGGCGGGTGGATCACCTGAGGTCAGGAGTTTGAGATCAGCCTGGCCAACAAGACAAAACCATCTCTGCTAAAAATACAGAGACATTAGCCTAGTGTAGAGGCAAGTGCCTATAATCTCAGCTACTTGGGAGGGTGAGGCAGGAGAATTGTTTGAACCTGGGATGCAGAGGTTGCAGTGAGCTGAGATCGAGGCACTGCACTCCAGCCTGGACAACAGAGCAAAACTCTGTCTCAAAA